TATATATATATATATATATATATAACGGGGAATGGGAGAGAACGGTGGAAGAAGGCATAAACCTTTTTTCGATGCAGAAAAATGGGCGTGATGAGCCCGGAACGCCCGTGAGTTAGGGATTTCCTTCCTGTTTCATATATATATTTTCTTCTGAACTTTTCCGGCCTTTCTGGGCCGCCGCACCTTCACTCGCTGATGCTGAAGTAATCCTGTGCCATTCTTTTTTTTTCTTTTTTGCTTTGTTTTTCCATTCTTTATTTTCCCGTTGCGCGCCCACATGTGTTGTGCAGCCTCGCCCACTGATGCGAAACCCCGTCCAAACATTAAAAAAAAAAGGAAGGGTGGGAGGGGGGTGGGGCTAATGGAGGATGATGCATGAAGGGAAGGAAAAGAGGAAGACGGTGGGTGGGGGGGGGAATGAAATTCGAGTGTGGGCTCCGAGCAGAGCGTTTTGCAGGCCAGTGATGGTTTTTGGCTTCCTCCTGTCATTGCTGCCGCCCAGTGTCGGTTTTTTTTTTTGTGTAAGGGGATGAATTTTGGTGATGAGCTTGCCAACACATCTGTTTTCTTGCCGCTCTCTCGGTTTCTCGCTTCACGTATATATATTTGCCCTCTCAGTGATGATTGCTTCTTGAATAATGCGATGTGCATTCTCCCCTTACGGCGTTGAGATTGCTATTCTGTGCGTGCGGCTCGCGCTAGCAGAAAGACCCCTTACTATTTATCTCTCTCACACTCCCTCTTTTTGCTTCCTTTCCTCTTCTGCCGCCCCCCTACTCTCCTACTATCAAACACAAACGCACACGGCAGTGATTCGGGTGGCTCTTCGCAGAGGGAATCCAAGACATATAAGCGGGCACTAGTATCTTCGTCGTTCTTCGTCAACGAATATTACGGTGTGTGGTGGAGTAGCGGAGAAACAATGGGGTTTTTCGACTCTGATCTCAGCTACCCGACGGTGCGCTCCGAGCGCATGAAGCACAAGCGCCGCCGCCTGGTGCAGGGACCCAACGCCTACTTCATGGACGTGAAGTGCCCTGGCTGCAACGCTGTGACAGTCGTGTACAGCCATGCCACCTCGGAGGTGCAGTGCAACGGCTGCGCCACCAAGCTCTGCCGCCCGACGGGGGGCAAGGCAATGCTGACGGTTGGCTGCGGCTTCCGCAAGAAGGCGGACCACTAAGCTGATTGGGGCTCCGGGGCCTGACACTCTTGTGCACCGCAGAATCACGACAAATTTTTTTTGTTATAACTTCGCAGTAAAGTTTTTTCTGTGTCTTTTTTTTTAATTGCTTGCCCGTGTGTGTTGGCCCTTCTTCTTCTTCCTTGCCCTCAGCTTCCTCTTGGATTTGCTGAGTGGTGGGAGAGGGGGAAGGGCCCTTGGTGCCGTCATATCCCAGCCGTTGAAGGAAGTAACTGCTTTCGCCACACATCATGATTTCCTTTTTTCGCTGCTGCTGCTCTTTTTTTCTTCTTCCGCTGCGTCTCACGGGACGTGGGGGAGGGGGCCCAGCGGGGAAGAAGAGCAAGGAACCGGGCCACTCCCATTGGGGGCGGAGCGTACAGCACAAAACAAGTGAACTAGACTGCGCTACACTAGAATGAGTGCGAGGGACGCAGGAATGGAAGACAATGAAGTGCTTGAGCGCCTCGCCACTCACCTTCGCGAACCCCCCACTATCCCCTCTGTGCCTGTTTACGCCCTCCCGGATCAGCAGTATCTTGAGGCCACTGTGTTTCCGCTGCTTTTGCGGGGGCTGGAGGAGGTGGCAAGGTCGCGGCCTGCTGATCCATTGGCATTTCTCGCAGCTTACCTCCTGAGCAACAACCCACAGAAGACGTCCCATCCTCTGATGGGAGACGAGGGGCGGCGAGTTCCGTTGCAGGGGATCGCCCAAATGGCCGCTGACATCATAAGCCGGAAATAACGTTTACTAAGCTTGCATGTCAATTCATGCGTGCTGGATTTGGTGGCTGGATGTGTGTGTGTGTCCGTGAGCACCAGAGGAGAAATGGGAGGATGCAAGCCGGGTCCCTCCGCTTTTCCTTCGCTTTGTTGTTGCTGAGCATGTATAGTAAATATCTTAGTGCGCGCCTCTCCTGCGCCGCGTGGGCGAGATTGTGCTATTAGCAATGCGTCAAGTGCCTGTGCCTCTCCACTTTTCACAGTCGCATGTGTCCCTTCTCTGTTCCTGTAATCGCGTGGTGGTTGTTGTACTTATTTTTCCTATTCGTTTTTTTTTTGCGTGATGTTCGAAAAGAGGAATCCAGTGGCGACAAAGCGTTGCGAGGAAGTTTTGAAGGGATGTCGGAGGTCAATAACCCGGAGTACAGGCGGGGGATGGAGGATGCGAGGCGTCACCGTTCCCGCACCGAGGACAACTGGGTGCGTGCGAGTGTGGGGCCGATCCTTTGGTTTGGCTTGCCTTTTGCAGTTGCGTGGATGTACCTGCGCCGCCAAGCGCCCAGCGGCGCCAAAGCGAACCCCTTTGAAGACATGATGGAGCAAATGATGCCCATTAAAAAGCGTCAGTTTCGCGTCGACGTCAAAGGCACCAGGTTTTGCGATGTGATTGGCATTCCTGAGGCGAAGATGGAGGTGCAGCAGTACGTTGAATTCCTGACACAACCCAACAAGTTTACGCGACTCGGCGCACGGCTACCGAAGGGGTGCTTGCTCACTGGTGAGCCTGGAACGGGAAAGACGCTCCTGGCAAAGGCCGTGGCAGGGGAGGCGAAGGTGCCCTTCTTTAGCTGCAGCGGATCCGACTTTATTGAGCTGATGGGGGGTAGTGGTCCCAAGCGGGTGCGTGAGTTGTTCGAGGAGGCACGAAACGCCGCGCCGGCTATCGTGTTTATTGACGAAATTGACGCCATTGGTTCCCGGGCAGGGAAACAAGGCGGTTCCGTGAGCAGTGAGGAGAATCGAACGATCAACCAAGTTTTGGCGGAGCTGGATGGGCTGAATACAGGCAGCGATGCCATCGTTGTGATTGCGGCGACTAACTTTCAGGACAACATCGATAAGGCGCTCTTGCGTGAGGGACGTTTTGACCGAAAAGTAAACATTGAGATGCCGGACAAGGCGGCACGCGTGGATATATTTAAGCACTATTTGGATCGCGTGGGAACCGGCGATCCCCGTGGGCGGAAGCTCGACGAGGAGGGAGCGCCTCTACCAACAAGCGACAAGGTGGACAACCTCCAACTGGCGAGGGAGCTGGCCGACCTGACGCCTGGAATTTCTCCTGCGACGATTGCGACGATTGTAAACGAGGCGGCGCTGCAAAGTGGCATTTCTGAGAAGAGGCTAGTGGATAAGGAATCCGTGCTGGAGGCGATCGACAACACGCTCATTGGCCGCAAGCATCGCAGCCGCCAGAGTTCAGCCTCGTTGCGACGGACGGCCATCCATGAGGTGGGCCATGCGATAACTGCGTGGATGCTGCCTTCCGTGAAGCGGGTGTTAAAAATCAGCGTTGTGCCGCGCGGTAATGCAATGGGGTACACGCAACGCGCAGGGTCTGAGCATCACGAATACCAGACGAACGCCACCCTCCTGGCAGACATGGTCGTCATGCTCGGCGGGCGGGCCGCCGAGGAGACGCTTCTGGGGAATCCGTCTGCTGGCGCCATGGACGACCTTCAGCGTGCGACGGACCTTGCACTTAAGCAAATGATGGTATTTGGAATGGATGCCAACGCCGGCTTGCTGTCGTACCACCCAGAGTCCACGCAAGCGGGCCGTATTTTTGTGAGTTTCTCTAACAAGGCTCAAAGTATTGCGGAGGAGGAAGCTAAAAAGCTCGTTGCTCATGCGCATCAGATTGCTATGGGAATTATCAAGGCGAATGAAGCCAAGATAGAGGCGGTGGTAGCCGAGCTCATTGAGAAGAAGGAGCTGTTGACGGCGGACTTGGAGCGCCTGTGGGGACAACGTCCCCTGTCGCCTACGGTGGAGGAGCTTGTTGTAAAGCTGATGACTCTGCAGGGGACACAGGAGCGCGAAGGCGAAGAAAAAAAAACAAGCATGTAGGTGCCGCGCCGAAGTGGACGTTGGGGTTTCCCGCGTCGTTAATATAAATGCAATGACGCGAAAATTACCCAACTCCCATCTTCCATTTTTCGTTTTTTTTTTGTTTTTGCCTTTTTCTTTTGTATCTGAGTAGTTGTGGTGGGGGGTTGCTGGCGTTGCTTTTGGCAAACGTTGAACTTTTGTTAGTAGGTGGTTAATGGGGGGAGGTGAGGGAATACACTTATGGGCTCTGACGCCCACATATCGGCAGGTTGAATCGGGATTCGCCAAACATCACCTTCCCTCTCTTCTTGATGCCAGGAAAAAAAAATTCCAAAAAAACGACAACCCTTGCGGAAAGAAGGTGTGCTTGTGGCTTTAAGAGAGAGAGAGAGATAACGTGCGTTGAAACTTCAAAAAAAAAAGACGATGGGACAGTTATGGTTCGTTTTCTACGTTGCTGTTTCTTGCCTTGTTTTGCGCCTTTTTGCTGCTTCTTTGTGTAGGTGCCATTGCCAGCCACAGGAGCCACGGAGGAAAAGCTTAATTTGCCGAAGGAAGATTCTTAGAAGAAGGAAGCCGAGTCCAGTTTCCCTACTTTGCCCCCGCGCTTCTTTTCCAACCAAACAAACACACCCCAACAACCTCGCCCACAGCCCACTCACCACACGCCCATGTCGAAGATCCCCCCCGCCCAGCTGTCGGAGGCCATCCAGGCCGTCCTCACCGCCCGCAAGGAGCGCAAGTTCAAGGAGAGCATCGACCTGCAGGTGAACCTCAAGAACTACGACCCGCAGAAGGACAAGCGCTTCTCCGGCTCCGTGCGGCTGCCGCACGTCTGCCGCCCCCGCATGACGGTCTGCCTGCTCTGCGACCTCGTCCACGAGGACGTCGCGAAGAAGAACAACGTGCCGACGATGAACCAGGAGGAGCTGAAGAAGCTGAACAAGAACAAGAAGCTGGTGAAGAAGATGTGCAACCAGTACGACGCCTTCCTCTGCTCCGAGTCGATCATCAAGACGGTGCCGCGGCTCGTGGGGCCGCACATGCATCGTGTGGGCAAGTTCCCCACCGTCTGCGCCATGAGCGAGAGCCTGCCGGAGAAGGTGGTGGAGCTGCAGTCGA